CCAGCAAAGATAGACCCAAAGTTCAGAGAACAATCAGCTCTGGGCAGGGGCAGAGGGGAGGCGGGTGGAGAGGAGACCCAGCGGTCCTCAACTGCCTCTTTAAAAGAAAACTCTGAAGTAAACATCACAGAATGTGCATATTTCATCAAAGTTGGTTGGTGAGGACACACGCATTTATTGTCTGATTCCCCATATTTTTCTGGGTGCTTGAACATTTCATAGTTTAAAAAGTTCTACATTTCTAGGCCCGTCTCATTAAAGGTCATGACAAATGCCTCTGATCAGGCTCTTTGTTGCTGGTTGTTAAACAGTTGCCAGCATGCTGCTGAGTCCAGGCCAAAAAAGCCTGCCCATTTCCACAAAAGCAAGGAGCAGAGGGATCTGCACGCATAATGATGAGGGAGAAAATCCATCTAGGATGTTAGAGGTAAACCAAGAGCCAGATGATCTGGAACCATTGCTGTCCTGTTCTGCTGAGATTGAGTGGCACTGCAATAGCAGGGATTGCTGTTATTCACAAAGGGGGCTCGGAACAGCCTGGTCCAACGCTCCTTCAGTAGCACGGCCTGCAGCTAAGTCCACGGCCTGCCAAAAACTTCCTGGCCCGGAAGCAGAAGGTTTAAGAGCATTTCTGGTAACTGTTGGATTTAACTCCTGATTTCTGGGAGCAGATTGCTAAAAGTTTTAAACTTTCTGGCATAGGCGCATAGTTTGAAATACTTAGTCAGATGTTTAATTACCTAATCACAATATTCCAAAGGCAAGAACGCCAAACAAATTTTAAAAAAAGAACCTAGTTTTTCTTGTCCTTTCTAACCCATTGATTAAATCAGGGTTTAATGGCTTTTTAAACTTTTAATTCAATCCATGGGTTGTATTTGAGAGTATCATAATAGTTTAGATCAAACTCAGTGAAAATATATTGAAAGTAATGGCTCGATATTAAAAGCGAGCTCTCTCCATCACGTTCACCCAGATTTTCCTCTTCTGTCCCAGTGTACTTGCTTTCCTTGTACAGAAAGAGCCCAGTGATTCAAACTCAGGAAAAAGAATGAGATGATGGGCCAGCGCGAATAAATTGGGTTGTATGTGCTGTTAGCATTACTTTAAAGACTTTTCTGTTTTCCCTGCTATAAGAAGCTCCAGGCATTCGCCCACATTACATAAACCGTTTTGAGAGTTAATCCCTTTCCCCATGTGACTCATGATCGTGCAGGTCCTTCCAGAGGGGATAAAAATACAATGGATTACAGCATGGCAGCGTCTGCAGTTCCCAAGGAAGAGGTGGCTTTAGACATTTATATACCGAGCTTGGCGACCAAGTGCCAGTGAGTGTGTCCGAAAGCAGTTGGAAATCGGACAGTTTGTGCTGCAATGCAAGGACAGGAAGCATTGCGAGTTTCTGCAGCCGTGGTTGGTTTGAGATAATACCATTGTATAACCAGGAGCAGCGACCGCTCCCACTGCTGAGAGCCGGGGCCTGGCGTCTGGCTCCTTGGCTGCAGGCCAGGCTGAGGTCCTGCCGTCTGAAGGCAGGGTGTGCGTCCCCTCCCAGGCGCTCCACACACACAGTGCCGGCCACACCTCACCTTCCAGAGGAAATCTGGCCAGAAAGCCAGACTTCATGACTTCTCCTTTATGAGCCTTACCCACCCCCAGCCCTTGCCCGGGCTTTTGTTTTCCACTTGGGTGCAGTGGTGGTATTCACTCTGCACTCAGTTGGGGATTTAAAGTCCCAGGCGGTAAAGAGCTGATGACAGGGTTATTGGAAAGATAGTGTATCTTGCCCTGCCTAGCGCCTCGGCGGTCAGCCTTGGGTCCTCGCTCTTCAGAGAGGCACTGGCTCTCATCACTCGTACAAACCGCCCTTCCCTCAGCATCTTCCATCAGGCAAGAGCACTCACCAAGGACTATTTTAGACGTATTTAGCAGCAATATTGTTTGATTTTAACTGGACATTGTTCTAGACACACAAAAGAGTTCAAGGATGTGGCGTTGGGTTTTGTTCTTCCCCACCCCACACCCCCCTCCCCATGCTGTCAGGTTTCTCTGGGAAAATGGGATGAAAATGTTTGGGGACGTTTCCACAATAAAACACTCTAAAATATTTTTTTAAGATTTCCTTTCTAGTCATGTCAAGATTATAACTCAAATCTGCAGAAGTCAGGAAATTCCAAATTTATGTTGACACTTTCCCCTTAAAACCCTCACCAGATGATAAACAGTGTAAAAATTCTGTTCCAATTCAAATATTCCAAATATGACATAGGTTGCCAGACTCTTCTAGTGAAAAGGTGCTTCAGGGCAAGACAGAGCAGCCTTTTAAGAAGCAAATATAACCTTTCAGTCCAATAATTTTTCTAAATGATTTCATAGTATAGAAGGTGATATAATCATTTCGGGTGGGTTGGCTTCTTAATTTAATTTTTACAAAAGGAAAGGAATTATATTTAATGATGGGAGCAAATTAAAAAGTGGCAGAATTTATCCATTAAATCAGCAGTTCTCAAGGTGGGAATGAGGACACGACATCAATGGCGGACTTTTCTGCGTCACTCGGGTCAGTTCACTCTCAAAGGTTCTACCAGCCCAAGCAGAGCCCTCACAGGCCGTGGCCCGGCCCCACAGTGAGACAGGCTCAGCTCCAATCCCAGCGCTGCCAGCTGCGGGCCTTGGGAAGAGAGCAAGTTCTTTGGCGTGTCTAAGACCCAATTTCCTCATCTATAACCTGGACGATGATCATAGCATCTACCTCATGGTTATTTGACATTAATTGAGATAATGCATGTTAGAGTAAGAAGTGCTTCTAAAAGTTCCTCCATAAACATTAGTGAAAATAACTGTCCTCCAGATAATAGTATTTGTGACGTTAAGGAAAATAAGCATTGTCAGCATGAGCATCGGGAAAGCTTATTTCAATACACTTTGGAGATGAGCAGAAAAAATCTGATGAAAAGAAAATCTTAGGGATAAAATTTTGCAAGGAAGATGGAATGAACTTTTACCAGACAATTATAGGGCCACAGAAATAACTAATTATACTGACAGATATATCAGTATATATATATATATATATATATATATATATACACATCTGACAGATATGTATTCTGACAGAAAGATCAGCCTGGCTCTGTCCAGGGCCTGAAAGACCCATCAGACTGCAGATAAACAAAACAGAAAGAAATAGCATGTGATTGCCAAGTCGTGATCAAAAAACCAAAACATAAAAGGAGACGGGCCTCCTGGGAGACACAGACAGTAGCAGGGAGAAGATGCGTAGATTGTAGAAAACCAGCATGAGCAGGTGAAACTGCAGGGCACAGCAGGCAAGCCCTTGTGTGGGGAAAGTCGGCCCTGCTCCTCCTCACCCACCTTTGTAACCTGTGGTCGCCTGGCCCAAGGCCCAGGACGGGGGAGCAAGGTAAGCTCCGACATCGCTGAGCATTGACGCTACATGTCTTCACCTGACACTGTCAGATGACCCAGGGAAATTAAGGCACTTTTTTAGACTATAGGATGATAAAGAAATCTCAGAGGACTGAAAAAGGCAAGTGTATTGTCTCTCATGTTAAAACGGGAAACAAACCCCTGATAGTTCTGGCCATTAAGTGAATAGATCAGCTTAATTTTCACGTCTGTAAGGATATTATTTTTAAAAGTCATCTATCAGTACACAACCAAGAAGACTGTGGGAAGAGGAAAACATTCCAGACGAATTTCATTTCCGTCTGTGATAGAAAGTGAGAGCGTGCAATAAAGGCAGAACAATGGATGTGAAGTCTGAGGAAACGTGTGCCACCATCTGCTCCCAGGACGGGGGCTGGATGCGTGGGAGCCGGGAGTCTGTGAGGGCCCAGGCTGGCTTCCTCCGCGGCTTTGCCAGTTCCGGGTCCCTTCTCCCTAACCACCTGCCAGCTGGGGCTGCTTCTCCTCGAGGTGGGCTACCTGGTGCTGTTTGCTTTCAGATCTGTTTCCAGCCCGTGTCTGTTGTTTGCTGGGTGTAAGTGGCAGTAAAGATTCTGTGGAGAAATGAGGGGTAGGATTTGGAGTCAGAACAATAATGGACGCCTGGCCCTGTCATTTACTTGTGTGGACATAGGTGGGTCACTGACCCTTTCTGACTGAGATAGATTCTCTTATCCAAAGGGGATCAAAATACCATCCTTTCCTGATTACGATGAGGGTTAAAAACCAGGGACTGCTATGATGCGTGGTTCAAGAAGTGTTTTATTCCTTCTTAACTTTTGATCTCACACTCTTTTCAGCTCTGGGCTTTATCTGGGTCCTAGATCCTTATTGAAAAGTATGTTTATGCGTCCAAAAACAGACTCATAATTCACTCTGTTAGGTGTTTGATTCTCTCCCTGGGACCCTGTCATTTCCATATTTGAGTTTGGATCGGGAAAACAAGCCACAGCCTTGAGCCCGGGACGTTAGTGAGAGGAAGTGCGTCATCGCTCGGCCAGCCCGCTGCGAGGACCTGCCTTCCCATTCTCTCTACATTCTTCATGTCCTTTCTTCCTCTTTTTTTTTTTCTTTTTTTCTTCTTTTCTCATTCCTAGGCCTTGATGTTGACAATGAGGAAATTCACTGAGACTACAAATTTGTACCTGAGACCAAGATTATTTTCAGGACTGATTATGGGAGGGAAGAGGGAGTAAAATGACAATGGTATTTCAATGCCACTTTGCGTAAAATTGGAATCCCAAAGAGTTAAACCTTCTGTCCCTTTCTGCTACTGTCACCACTGCAGCAGGAGAAGCCCAGCCCCTGTGCCCCCTTGGTGTCTGACCCCGGGCTGACTTGGCTGCATGTCGACGTTTGCCTCCTTAATGCTGACACACTTGGGTGTCCACAGAGCGGGTAAATATTTGCCTGTGCAGGAGAGAGGAAATGGCGGTTTCTGCACAGGGTAGGTGATGAGGCAGCTCATCTCTCTGTGTCAATAGTGTGAAACAAACATTGGCGATGTGCAACGATGACACTCTATCTCTCAGGTTCAGAGAAGGGAGCTACTGATGGCCATGACCTCCAGACTCGATCCCAGCACCTTTCGGAGCCACCAGCTCAGAGCAGGCTGCTCTGCTCTGTAAGTCAGCTCTTTACTTCATTATGCTGCCCCCTGCCCATAGAGGAGCTCAACTTAGAGCTCACTGCAGGGACAGTTCGATTGTCCCCAAAGGGCTTAAGAATTACATGTGTCGATTACTTTCTGTTATTCTGAGTCTTGTTACCTCCGTTTCATAACTCTCTACTAAAAGCAGAGAAAGGCGGTGGGAGAGAAGATATGCTCAGATGAGTGGACAAAGAAGCGAATATGCTCAGGAAGAAGCAGGATAGACTGCTGGCAAATGCTGGAAGTGTACAATGCAAAGCTTAGGAAACTGGCCCCAAATTGTATGTCTGAGATGGGGGTGGAGGGGAGAATCTGCTACTGAAGGAAAAGGACACCAGTGCTGTTTCCTTGGTTAACTACCCAGATGTCTGTTCCACTATCCCTTTCTTTTTGGGTGAATAGAGTCTCAAAATACAAATGTAAGTTACAAACTGAAGTTACAGCACATCAGAGGGCAGTACTCACCCATTTCAGGCATATGACGCTTTTCAGGGTATCACAATGTTAGCTTATAGTACATGACTTTTGATGAATTTGGGTAAGGATATACAAGAGTTCTTTGTACTATACATATTTAGAAATATTCTGTAAGTTTGACATTATTTTGCAATAAAAAGTTTAAAAAAAAAAGCCTATGCTTCAGAAAAAGCACACCCACAGATTTTGAAAAAACAACAAAGACAGCTAGATAGCTAGTCATAGCACAGGTAAACAATCTGAATGACACAGAAGTGACACCTTTGTTCTTTGGACATTTATTCAACCAATAATTACTGAACCAGATGCTTCTCTGTTGCTGGAGACGTGGCTGTGAACACATGAGAAAGGGAGAGATGAATACAAATCTACAAGATCTGCAATGTCATACAGTCTGGGTTCATAGGGTGCTGTGTGCTATCTGGAATGAGCAGAGGAGGACTCTTTGCAGGGGCTGGGCTGTTGGGAAGACCTCTGGGAAGCAATGTCATTGGAGCAAATCTCGAATGAATCTCTGGTGAAAAGAACCAGCTGTGGGAAGAGCTAGGGTGAGCACCCAGCCTGGGAGAACGGAACATGCAGAATTACTGGGCAGGAACCAGCCTGGAGGCTGGAGGAACAGATAGGAGGCCAGTTGATTAATTAGTGTACTGATTGATTAATGGAAGAGACCTAAATAATATATCTAGTTCAATCTCACCATTATATAAGAAGGTAAACGTGCCCAGGGAGTCTACTTGTCTATGGTACATAAATAGTGAGAGAGTAGGACTAGCTCTAAATTGTTATTGGAGGTGGGAAGTGATCTTCTTTCAATGTCTTCTAAAACCTATTTCTTTATTTCTTGCTTCAGTTTCTCAAGGATGTCGTCCTCACTGGGCTTCCAGTTCTTAGTCACACAATCATAAGGAACTGCCCAAATCTCGTCCATAGTGAAGATCAAACAAGAATTAAACAAGCAAACAATAAACACTGCGTTGACTTAACCCAACCACAGCAGGTTGATTCTGAAGGGCACCTTTTACAGACTGGTGACATGATTTAGTGGCGTGAGTTTAAATTTCATCATATACTCATTGGGCAAGCAGCATTCACATGCTCAAGTGTTGTTAATTAGTGATCTAGAGCTGTCGGACAACTTGGAGGAGCCAACCTTCAGCAGAATTTGGGAGAAGTAGAGTACAAAGTGACCATATCTTGATTGACACTGTCTTCAAAGGTCTACTAATCCCAGTATCTATGTGAATTGTTTTATGACACAAGTTGAGTTACCAACTGGGCTTGATGTTGATGGAAAATACTCTAAAACAAACAGCACTTAGATTTCTTGCTTATCACAATAAGATTAGCATTTGCAGATAGGCCCTGAAAGTGACCCTAATTCTTTCATGATAGGGTTAAATTGACACTGGAGTAGTAGAGAGAAGGAAACATTGCCTCTGTGAGTCATGTGTCCTTGGACTTTTGCTGTCCCTATGTTAGGCTAAGTTTGATTGTCATGATCTAAAATATGGACAAACAGAATCAATTTTTCTATATGGACTTTTCAAAACACTGAGTCACATTTTATTAATGTTTGCAATATTCAGGAAAGTTGGATGTACACAAGAACTCATATTTTTAGGGAAACAGCGAATGTGCTTCTCATTCCCCACCAGGGCTGGATGATGGACACCTTAGTCCATAGAGTTGATCACATCTGAGCCTTGACAAAAAGGGGAGCCTTGGAGTTATAGTTAGTTATACTCAGCTGGTTGTGGAAATAATTTCCAACTATATTTCCTGCACACAGGGTTCTAACTGGGGTACAAAGCAATGCAGAAAACGTTCCCCTGCTAAATTGGGTGCAAGCAAGGCTACACACAGCCCTGAAGACATCTGCTCCCTGGCTTCTGTGCTGGAACGTGTGAGGACAAGAAAAGGAAGCTCCTCATGGGGTCAGGAAGTAGATTGGGCCCATCTGAGAGACAGCTTTTCAGGTTCTGGAAAGAGAAGGCGACTGAAAGCTGCTTCTCTGAGACCAGAGAAACATGCCTCTCCTTCTGCCTCCTCACAGGGAGGAGGGCAGAGACAGGGCTCAAGGAGAAGCGAAGAGGGCTGCTCTTTGCCCAAATCTCAGAGGCATCATGCCCACCTGCCACGCTGCACCACAACAATTACATGAAGCACGAAGAGTTGCTTTCATTAGTAAAGTAAACTGCACATTTCTTCCTTCTTGATAGCTCATTGAACATAGCGCCTAGTCATATGTTCAAAGCTCTAGAAACTAGACAGAACTTAGAGATATGCATGGAAATAACTTCCTTTATTTGATCAGTGAGAATAGAAGTGACTAGGGCATGACCACAAGCAGGAAGACTAAAGGAGAATGTTGGTGAAATTCAAATAAGAAATGCAATAATCGGGGCTGGCCCCGTGGCCGAGTGGTTAAGTTCGCGCGCTCCGCTGCAAGCGGCCCAGTGTTTCGTTGGTTCGAATCCTGGGCGTGGACATGGCACTGCTCGTCAGACCACGCTGAGGCAGCGTCCCACATGCCACAACTAGAAGGACCCACAACGAAGAATATACAACTATGTACTGGGGGGCTTTGGGGAGAAAAAGGAAAAAAATAAAATCTTTAAAAAAAAAAAAAAAAAGAAATGCAATAATCTAGGACTGGAAAGGAGAAAATATATATGAAATACTCACAAAAGATTACCAGAATTTCATCACCCGACCTCGTTTTTAAAGGTTAGTCATTGAGTTAACCGTCAGGGGGATGGGTTAAGCCAAGGCCACTTTAGAAACCTTCTGTTCTCCAGGTGACGGTTCAGAGTTGCCTTCCTGAATTTGATTGGGCTTTCTGTTGACGTGGATAAGTAGTGACATTTTTCTTGCATTCTTTCTCTTAGCTTCGTGAAACTCTCTTGACCCTCTCTGCTCTGATGTAACAATGAAATCGATGGCATTGCTGCAACTTGAGGAAAGAAAAAGGAGTCCCTCAGGGTCTGCATGTTCTTTTTCTCAGAGGAAATGAATTTGGGTGTTCTTTAGTCAATGCCTAAAAGCACTGAGATTCCTGTAAGAGATGAAGTCCCAGCAGTGCAGGCAATAAATGAAAGACCCAGGAAGCAAAAGCTTTTTACCTAAAAAGACAAACTGGCTTAACAACAAACAATCCATCTCTCCCAATAAGAAACTCAGAAAGATAAGGGTTCTGCTTCACCTACATCCATGCAGGGACCGGGGAGTAAAAGTTTTCCATCTTAAACTCCAAAGACAGGTGTAAACAGAGGCTCAGCGCTTCCTGGGAGGCTGATTACAAAGAAGAACTAATCAGAAGCCTTTCATCTCTGACCCTTTACCTTTAGGTCTATTCTGGGGCATGGAGGTGACAGGGCTTGTGTCCTTTGCATCCAAGGAAGCGACAGGTAGCCTACTGATCAATATCCCCCTTTGGTAGTGTCTTCGGAACGTGGAATGTGGGGCAGAAAATGAAGCAGACAGAAATCAATACTCAGGTCTGGTGAGAAGGAGGTTATCGTCACATTAATTTCACTTCTTAAAAAGAAGACAACGACAAAAGCAAACCGATTACCATCGGGTTCTTTGGGAAATGAATGTGCTTTCTAAAAAAGTAAGGAACGGAATGTCTTGGGTTTTAGCCAATTTAACATCCAAGAGAAGATGCTGCCGTGTTTTTGAGATTATATTTTCTGTGTTGTTCTCAGGGCCAGCATTACTCAATTTTCCAAGCATCACTAGTTGGACAATAACTTGTAGCAGAAAAACATAAAAGGGAAGAACTTCTGACAACAAACCTAAGGCTTTAGGAATGAGTAGTTCAATAGATAAATGGGGAAGTTTGGGAGAAATCAACAAAGCAATTAAGAGAATGGAGGGATTGATTAATGGGGAAGATCACTCCTTTGATGTCTGGCTTGGCTCATCAATGATTCTTTTTTCCTTTTTGACATGGATTAGGGGACAGGAGATGAGTAAAGGATTAAGATTAGTAACCCACAAATACCTGAAATAAATAATTTTACAGGAAAGACAGGAATTTCTTTCAAATTGGCCAACATAATTGAATGGATCTAAGAATTTAATTCAAAAAGTATTTATGTCATAACCTTTTGTCCCTCGCCCCCGAGTCCACTCTCTTTTATTACTTCTCATATTGAATATACACTCACTGGCTCTTTGTTAGTTTAAAATAGAAAAAAAGTTACAATTTAAATTCTTAATGGAAGGATGTTTGAAATATGAAAACAATTGCCTTTAAGAAACAATAAAAACACTCCAGGAGACATTTAAAATTACATCAACACTTATATTGTATCAGATAGACATGAAAGGACTGAACTTGTCTCTTCCATCTCTGGTATATAAAATTTCATGTGGGAAATGTTTTAAATTTTTTTTTAACATATTTTCCTATGGAACTTAGAAATTTAATAAATTCACTTTTCTAACTAGTAGAAGATTAAAATTTTGGACATCTGATCACAGTATCTACTTAGCTCTTATTTTACTTAAAAAAATTAAAAGGTATAAGCTAGAGGAGACACCCAGCGGCTGCCGTTCCAGTGGGCACCAGGCAGTGCCGCCCAGCACGTATCTAGTGATACCTGATCTGCATGCTCTGCAGCGCTGCCCACCTGGTCCTCCAGCTTTTCTCTTACGCTTCTCCATGTGCTTCTTGAAGGCAGAGGAGGTGTTTGTAAGTACACGTTGAATCATGTCACATGCTAAGTTAATCATGTCACTTGTCCTCTAAGTGGCTTCCTATCATACTTGGGATAAAAATCCAAGCCTCTAACGACATCTTTGAGAAGCAACAAGACCACGATCTCCTTCTGCCCACCTTTCTAATTTTGCTTCCTGCCGCCCCTCCCCCACCCACTCTGGCTCACTTCACCCAAACACACCAAAACCAAGTCCTGATTGTGGGTCTTGTCTATTCCCTCTGCCTGGACTGCACTCCCTGTATTCTGGGCAGGACCAACACCTTCCCTTCCTTCGGGTATTGCTCAGGTCACATCTCTTCAGAGAGTCTGCCCTGACAGAGCTACATCAAGCAGCATACACCATTCCTGTCATACTTCTTGATTTTTCCAGAGTATGTATTCTCTCTTGAATCGTATTATTTACTCACTTATTCACTTACTATTTGTCTTCTCCAGTAGTTGGTGCACTCCATGAAAGAGGGACTGTTGCAGGTTCCCCAGCATTTGAGGCAATATCCAGCAGAAGGCAGGCACTCAAAATATATTCGTTAGAAGGAAGGAAGGAGGGAGAGAAGGAAAGATGAAAGGGAAGGAAGAAGGGAGAAAGGAAGAGTATGCACTATGCCATCACCATGGGGCTCTAGATAGAAGCATAAAAACATCCTGTGAGCTCGTGAAGAGCAGAGGCAATGTCTTTCTGTTACCAGTGTACTCCTTGTGCCTAGCACATAACTAGGCATTTGAAAATATTTAAGAGAGAGTGGAAACTTAGTGAAAGAGCTAAAATTTACAGTTGAGGGTAATCACAAAAAGTAACAGTGCACTAATAACTACACAGCATGGTCCTGTTATAAGTTATTGCAAACAGTACTGTACTAATCCTCGCAACAACCCAATGAGGGGCACAATGACTATGAGCTCCATTTACTGTTGTGGAACTAAAAGCATAACCCACAAAGGAGTTATTTGTCCCAGGGCATAAGCTAGAGAGTGGCAAAGCAGGGGTCTGAGGACAGGCTGTCTAGCTCCAGAATCCATGCTTAGAACCATGTACGATCTCTTCACCAACAAGGTGAGAATCCCACTGGGAGACGTGCCATGAGAGTGGGGGGTGAAGAATAGTCCAGAGAGCAAGTGGTGGGTGTACAGTCACGATAAGGGTGTGGTGAGGCGGAGGTGAAGAGTTCTCAAATCATGTTCCAGCTTTCCAGGGTGGACTTGTCCATTGGAGCCTTTCCTGACTTTCTCTTCTCCTGTGTGAACACAGTACTCATCCAAACACATACTCATCCAACCAATGTTTCTTGACCTGATAAGTAGAGTGACTATGGGGACTACTAGTGAAAGTAGTGAGATGAGGTAAGAAGGGCTAATTGAGCACAGGCCATTGAGGGGCAAGGATCTGGGATACATAGGAGAATAGAGCACTTATTAGAAATTTTAGATAAATTATTCAGATGCTGCACGGGATGGATTGGAAAGAGAAGAATTTTAAAACAAAGAGACAAACTAGGAATTAAGGAACTTTTGTGTCAACTAGAGTAAGGAGTAATGATAAAATGTAACAAATAAGATTAATAAACTATTAGAAATGTCCATCAACAGATGAGTGGATGAACAAATATTGCATATACATACTATATAATAGTATTCAGCCGTAAAAAAAAAGCAAACTCTGACACAGGCTACAACATGGATGAACCTGGAAGACATTCTGCTAAGTTAAATAAATCAGAAACAAAAAGACAAATACTGTGTGATTCAGCTTATGTGAGATACCTAGAGTAGCCATATTCACAAACACAGAAAGTGGAATAGAAATTGCCAGGGGCTGGAGGGACTTGGGAGAAATGAGGAGTTATTGTTAATGGGTACAGTTTCTTTTTGGAGTAAAGAAAGAGTTCTGGAGATGGATAGTGGCTGTGTTTACACAATAATATGAATTTACTTAATACCACAGATCTGTACACTTAAAAATGGTTAAATTGCAACAACAACAAAAATCATGATTAAAAATGAAGAGAGGATCTGAACATTTTTCCAAAGAAGATAGAAAGATGGCCAATAGGCACATGAAAATATGTTCACTATCACTAATTATTAGGGAAATGCAAATCAAAACCACAATGAGATATCACCTCATGCCTGTCAGAATAGCTGTTATTAAAAAGATGAATAACAAGTTTTGGCAAGGATGCAGAGAGAATGAAACTCATCTACACTGCTGGTTGGAATGTAAATTGGCGCAGCCACTATGGAAAACACTATGGAGATTCCTCAAAAAATTAAGAGTAGAACTACCCTCTGATCCAGCTATTCCACTTCTGAGTATTTATACAAAGAACGTGAAAACATGAATGCATAAAATTATATGCAGACCAATGTCCATTGCAGCATTATTTACAATAGCCAAGACATGGAAACAACATAAGTGCCTATTGAAGGATGAATGAACAAAGAAGATGTGGTATATACACAGTGGAATACTACTCAGCCATGAAAAGATGAAATCTTGCCTTTTGCAGCAACATGGATGGACCTTGAGGGTATCATGCTAAGTGAAATAAGTCAGATGAAGAAAGATGAATACTGTATGATTTCACTTATATGTTGAAGATAAAGAACAACATCAACAAACACATAGATGAGAACAGATTGGTGGTTACCAGAGGGGAAGGGGGGTGAGAGGAGGGCAAAAGGGGCAAAGGGGCACACGTGTGTAGTGAGAAATGAAAAC